ATGATTTTTCAGAAAATTAGGAAACAACCTTCCTCAAGACCCAACAGTAGCATGTTTGGGTATATACCCAAATGATGCTCAATCATACCACAAAGACATGTGTTCAACTACATTCATAGCAGCTTTGTTTGTCATAGCCAGAATGTTTGAATTAGTAAAAACCCTTTGACGAATTTATGGATAAGGAAAATGTGGTACATTTACACAATGGAGTACTACACAGCAGAAAAAGTAATGACAACTTGAAATTGGCAGTCAAATGAATGGAGCTAGTGAGGTAACCCAGACCCAGAAAAACAAATATCATATGTACTTACTCATAAGTGCTTTTTAAACATAAAGCAAAGAAAACCAGACTACAATTCACAATCTCAGAGAACCTAGACAACAATGAGGATCCTAAGAGAGACACACATGGATCTAATCTACATGGGAAGTAGAAAAAGACAAGATCTCCTGAGTAAATTGGGAGCATGGGGACCTTGAGAGAGGGTTGAAGGGGAGGGCAGTGGAAGTGGGGGAGCAGAGAAAAATGTATAGCTCAATAAAATCAATTTTTAAAAGTCACCTGTGATCCCTATCCCTGGTGAGCATTTAGGGCTGGGGGACAGGAGGATCCCTGGGCCTAGCTGGCGGTTAGTCTACTGACATAAACTTAGTGTGAGACCTCCGTTTAAGGAAATAAGGTGGAAAGTGACAGAGGAGCACTTTGGACATCTTGTGAATGGGTATGTTCACCTACACACACATACACACACACACACACACACACACACACACACACACACACACACACACACACACACACACGGCAGACACCAAAATGCATTGTTTGAATTATTGTGACTTCTGGGGTTCTACTAAAAATTCACTACCATCTATTAGTAGGAACAAAATAACATTACTTTCCCTTTTCCAGACACAAGTGCTATGAAGTAACCCAATATTTCACAGCTGCCTTCTCTAATCATCATGACTTGTGAGACACGACTGACATTGTGGTTCACTTAGAGGAGGATGGATCTGACTGGAGATGCAGTGATTGATGTCTCTAGATGTTCCAAGTATCTGAAAGTCCACAACTGATTAAAGCTGTGGCCCCAGAGGCAAAACAGGACCATTCTGTAATGTAAAAACAAACAGAGATGAAAAGAAACCCTCACTGAATTTAGATCAAGCTGGCAAGCTAAAGCAACCCTTAAGCCAACCTGAAGAGATGTTTTGCAAATATCACTTTCTTAAGTGGCTAAACAACAATTATGTATATATGCCTTTTTTAAAAATTACGACTTCAAGTTCCTTAAAATTAGTACTGATGTTTTTTAATTAAGGATGATATTTTCCAAAATAAAACTGGGGTGAAGAAGATGGAAGGACTTAGGTGAGTTGGTGCCTAAGCATGAGACCCTGAGTTCAAATCTTCAGAACCTGTGTGGAACACGGGGCCTATTCTGTAACCACAGTATTGACAGAGGACAAACATAGATGATTGCTGGAGATTGCAGGCTGCCAGCCTAATTTCAGGTTCAGTGAGAGACGCTATCTCAAGAAAATATGACAGAAAGTGATAAAACAAGCCACGGGACATCCTCCTCTGGCCTCCATGTGCTTACAGGCATACATGTCTGCACACACAGTGCACATACAATACACAATTTCCCAGAGAATTTTAAGAAGAAGAAAAAACAGGGCACAGCTGTCATCTTACTGGATTAATGACTCAACAACAGTAGAAATATAAGACAAATCAAAAGAAGCTAGGTCTCATAGATCCCTGCCCAGAGCCTGTTTCTTTCCATTATAATTCTTTGACATGGAGTTTTCATCTGAGAGGTTTTTGGCCAAAGGGATTAACATTTGTGAAGAAGAGACCTATGAACATCAAAAGAAAAAAATAAAAGTAATATACATGTGACACAGAGATCCTAAAATTTGGCACTGACTCATTTTTTGCGGCTGTATTTCTGAATGAGAATCCTGCCTCCGTCCTCCAGGAGTCTCTATACAGTGTGCAAGCTGTTGTGCTCTCGTGATAGAACCCGAATTGATGGCGCATTTCCCTGGTATTCCAGGTGGAGTCCTCCATTCCTAGCCTGGCCTGGCAGGAGCCCTGCTGTGTGGCAGTCTGGAGACTCTGGGGTTAGGCTTAAAACAACTCTAAGGATGTTCTGAAGCCGTACCATGATGCTGGAATCACATTCCAAGTCTGCAATTCTATTTTGTTAGGACCAAAGGAAAACAGTGGGCTCCAGCTTTGCCACTTTGGTGCTTTTCCAGAAGACTTTAACTCAAGCATATGATGCCACACACCAAATCAGGCTTGACAAATATCATAGAACCATAGTCTCTATTGTCCTGCAGATTGGTCTACTAATTAAAGAAAATATTGTCAGCATTGCTTTTTTTTTTACATTAATCATAAACTGGTTGGTCTATTAGCTCAGGCTTCTTCTTTTTTTATTAATTTATAAAAATTTCCACATCCTCCCCTCCTCCCAATACCCTCCCACTCCCCCCACTCCCTCTCCTACTCTCTCTCCAGTCCTAAGAGCAGTCAGGGTTTCCTGCCCTGTGGGAAGTTCAAGTTCTTCCCCCCTCCATCCAGGTCAAGGAAGGTGAGCATCCAAACAGACTAGGATCCCAAAAAGCCAGTACATGCAGATGAAACAAGTCCTGGTGCCATTATCAATGGCTTCTCAGACAGCCCCCATGTCAGCCACATTCAGAGAATCCCGTTTGATCACATGCTCGTTCAGTCCCAGTCCAGCTGGCTTTGGTGAGCTCTCATTAGATCAGTCCCCCTGTATCAGTGGGTGAACGCACCCCTCGAGGTCCTGACTTCCTTGTTCATGTTCTCCCTCCTTCTGCTCCTCATTTGGATGGATATGGGAGCAGGGAAGTATATATCTCAACTTAGGGACCCATTTTAGGTTTTGCAAGAGACTTGATTCTAGAGGGGTTCCCAGGTCCAAGGAAAGGTCCCAGATTGTTCCCTGAGCAGCAGAGGAGAGGGCCTTGGCCCATAACCATACTGATGAATATTTTGCATATCACCATAGAACCTTCATCTGACGATGGATGGAGATAGAGACAGAGACACACATTGGAACACTGGACTTAACTCCCTAGGTCCAAATGAGAAGCAGAAGGAGGGAGAATGTGAGCAAGGAAGTCAGGATCAGAGGTCCAAATGAGCATTGCTTTTCTATAAACTTGGTGTGTATAAGCTAAGAGCTGCACTTGGTCTGCATGTCCTAGCCTGGGGGTAAAGCCTTGGGATCTCATTCCTAGCCACCATCTGGGCATTGAACTCCATAGTGAGCACTGTTTGGATATGAAGGGACTTTTAACTATGCCCTCCTTTGCCTACAGCAGATTCTGTGCACACAAATGAGAAGCCTTAGTGCTCTCCTCCCTGTCCATCTGACTCTCTGATTTACAAAACCACACTAGGTTCTGGAGTGGAAAACAACAAAGCTGGGCCAGAATTGAAGAAACGACAGGCTGGAACCCAGCTGTTGTCCTGTGGGACACAGAGGCAGAGATCAAGCCTCGAGAAGTTTTCACATGGTGAGATCAACCAGTTCTATGTATTCATGTGGTTCTGTAACATCCTTAAGCCAATTATGGTGTTATCATTGAATTATGAAATAGCAATAGCAAGAACAATGCAAAATTCACCATGTTTTCATTTATTCCTAAGTCATGTAGGCCAACCTTCACATCCCTTATTTGGAGTCCAACGTACTGAAAGGGAATTAACAGCCAGCTGGGCCTACTGAGGGCATTACTTGCAATGCCTCCGGGCTTTGAAATACCCAACATAATGCTAAAGAACTGCAAAAGTCTGAATACTACAGATAATCTAGTTATTGAGATATCAATAAATCAATGATACAATAGAATCATACGCTGCTGTAATTCTATAAAGCCATTCTCTTGTTTAGCGAGAGAAATACTTAGAACAACAACACTTGTCTTACTCTGCCCTTTACCCAGCTCCTTCTCATAAACTCTTTTATTCTAGCTGATCCTACACTAGTTCCCAGAGACTTCCCAACCAGGGACACCCACAGAGAAACAAATAGAAGAATCAGGACCTGGAAAAGTTTACTTTTTGTCAGTGGTAATTGTGAGCAGCTAGCTAAGGTACTGTGCTTTCTGGAAAAGTTTGCATAATTTGTCACTAGAATCCCACGATGCTCACTTTTTGTTTCTTTGGTGATTGCCCATTTTACCTCTGACTCTGTTATTCCTGGCTGTGAAAATGAATTAAACAAATTAAAACGCTGTTGCTTCTTCTTACTGGACTGAAACTAGCAATGTAGACGCAGAACACCACCATATAGAACTCCATGATAAACAATTACTACAGACAAGAGATGTCCAACTCTCTGAGGGAGATATGCTACCATGTTCTCAGATTTAAGTAAAGTCTCAACTGTGATCTACAGAGATGCTGTACTTACTGATAGTCTCAGTAATAATCCATTATTAAACTTTCAACAACCAACAACATAGTAGGACACATCTTATAGTTAAAGTTTATCTTTTTATGAGATGGTTTGTTTTTTTTAGGTTTCATATTTTTCTTTTTTAAATTTATTTATTTATTTATTAAAAATTTCCACCTCCTCCCCACCTCCCTTTTCCCTCTCCCTCCCCACCTTCCCCTCCTTCTCTAGTCCTAAGAGCAGTCAGGGTTCCTTGCCCCGTGAGAAGTCCTTGTTACAATAGTTTCTCTCCCCGGGCAAGCTCCTCCCAGTCCTTAAGTAGCCCTGGGCAGCCAATCCTGGATTGCCACGTGGGCACTGTCCATAGGTCCACTTATGTGCAAGCAGCTTACGATCATCGCATGATCCTGGCCTTAGCCAAATAAGGTGTTGTTTATCACTGAAAGCACTCGGTTTTGGGATCGTGGGAGGCGGAATCCGGTGCCATCTTTTAGGTGCGGCTCCATGCAGCTCTCTACAATTCCCCCTTTTTTGTTTTAAAAGCAACAGGCAAGAGTAGAGGTCTGATCTCTGTTAAAAATGAAGCATGTACTATTGTTTATCCAGGTGTCCTCCACCCAGAAAACACTAGACCTGCTTGGTGCCCTTTTTACAGAGGTGGGAGTTAGGCACCGACCCACATGCAATCAGACTTGCTCTTCTTGAGGTAGATGTAATTACCCTCAAGTGCAGTGTGCAAGTCTCAAATCCCCTGCTAATATATCTTTTAAAGTAATTAACCAAACTTGGGGGGACTGTCCTGCTTCAATAGCCATGAAGGCTTGAATGATTATTGCTGCATTGTGATGTTGTGAGGCCCTCATGCGACAAATACACCACAGACATACCAGGGAGGCAAGTACCATTAGGCCTGTCAGGGCTCCTATTCCCACCCACTCCTTAAAATAACTAAAAGTTCATTTCAGCATATTAAGAAAAGCATCAGCAGTAGGTAATTCCAGCTGTGTGGCATTCAGGGAAATAATCTGGTTGATCAAGGTGTCCGTCAGGTTCTCGAACTCCTTGCTTCAGTTTCCCTGAAGGTGTGCGCTCAGCTGCCGGTTCAGGTTACCATTCTTTGTAAAATTCTCAGCCAATCTGGAAGTAATGCATAAAGAGGCGAGGGAACGAATACATCCTACACTGGTTAAGGTTACTAAATCATCCACTTGCTCTTGCAAGAGGTCTACTCTTTGGTTTACTGTCAAAATGCCAGCTTTTAAATGACCATCGATAGATTTCAAAGTGGTCATTGTGGAGGCTGTCCTCTCCACGATTTCATTAACTGTCTCTGCAATCTGAGTTGTTGCAGCCATGGCAACAGCAGCTGTCATGGCAGCTGCAGCAGATACAGCAATTGCGGTGACTAGGGCTGCTGTTATCCCAGAGTCTTGTTTTGTTCTGAGCAACTGAGTGATCGGGAAGGTACCGGTATCAACTCTGACTGGGATGAGAACATATGTGGGAACTCTCATCACCACAGCTGTGTTATAAGTACCATTCCAGCATTGACTTGCGAGGCAAGCTGCCTTGAAGGAATTACAATAGATCACATCCTCTGTGGCATTGGTAATATTAGTCAGCAAAAAGAAGAAGGGTGCCTTTAAGCACACTGGACTGGCAGAAATGGAAGGTTGTTCATCATTTTATTTGTAGTAACATTTGAAAGAACTCCCTTCGTATCTCGGCTGGCAGAGATGTTAAGTAGCCAGACAGTCAAATTACGAAGGGCAGCAAAAGGCTCTAAGGATGAAAAGGCCCCTCTTTCATTAGAAAGAATCCATTGAAACCAGGGCCAAGTATTTTTCTTATTAGTTTTCTGATTAGTCCGATTAGCAAGATTAAAGGAATATCTTCCTAAAGGAGGGGTAAATTCAAAACCTGGTGCAATCTGCTTTGGCTTATGATCTGGGCTTTGACATGGTGTTCAATGAGGGGGGTAACCTAAATTAGGGACACAATAAGTTAATACTTGTCGAGCAATGGAATTTCATAATCCAAAGCGTGAACTTGACAGCCGAAGCCCTTCCATCAACATCAATAATGTAATAATATTTGTGGCATTGCTACCATTTTTACCGCTGCCCATGCCTGAGGAAGCACCCGTATTTATTGTTTTCAGTGCTTTCACGAGCATGGCAAAAGGCACATGACTATCGGTCAACGGGTCAAGCCAGTTACCCACCGAGCCATTCTTCAACCATATACATGGGTTAGAATTATTTTCAAGAGAAAAACATAGTGCTCCTTGAAGAGGAACATCAGCTGCATTATTCATAGCCATGCTAGGGTCTAAATTTACGCAGGGTAAGCCTAATACACAACTAGTGGAAAAAAAGACAGGTAAAACTTTTGACGTAGAATGAACAGGTATAGGAATTGGCCATGCTTTTGCTATGGCCCACAAGATTTGTTCATTGGCCTGGATCAACAACGGGGACATCAGGACCGTCACCATCAGTAGGATCACAATCTGAGGCTTCATCTTGCTTGTCATTCCTCTGCACTTGTACTTTTCTCACCAAGCACTCCGGTACCCAAATAGGGTCCAAATGATCCTGTGGAAAAACACAAACAGAACCTCATGCCCATGCCAGCACGGGATCAGGGCCATGCCAGACCCCTGTCAGAACGTCCGTCCATTTTATCAATCCTTTTAAAGGACTGGATGGGTAAGAATGCCTGTCCACTGCAGACTGATTGGTATTGTCCAAATTTTAAAAATCTTTAAGTGTAAACAAGGCTAAGGAAAGTCTATTCTTGGGGGTCTGTTGATGACCTATTCCCCCTTTTTGCTTTTGAAGCAATTCTTTTAAGGGGTGATGAGCATGCTCTACAATGCCTTGGCCTTGTGGATTATAAGGCAGCCCATGTATGAGTTGAACACTCATGCATTGGCAGAAGGAGGTGAACTTTTGTCCCGTATAAGCGGGACCATTGTCTGTTTTCAGTTGCTGGGGTTTTCCCCAGGTGGCCCATGCTTCTAGACAATGAGCAATCACTTGGGTTGCCTTTTCACCTGTCATGGGTGTGGCATGGATAATGCCAGAGCATGTATCCACAGAGACATGTACGTATTTTATTTTGCCAAACTCAGAGAGATGGGTAACATCCATCTGCTAAAGTTTAAGGGGGAGAAATCCACACAGATTGACCCCCAAAATTTGAAGGTGATGATGTATGACACATTGTGGACAATCCACAACCACCTTGCATGCATCAGCATGGGAAATGGTAAATTTTTGTTGTAGGGTTTTGGCGTTAACATGAAGTTCTTTATGAAAATCATGAGCCCTCTGCAGGGCAGAGGCAAGAAACATCCATTCTTGTCTGGTACACTGATCAACCTTGTCATTGCCGGCAGCCAGAGGGCCTGGCAGACCTGTATGTGCATGAACGTGCTGTACAAAGAAAGGATTCTTACGTTGCCAGAGTAATAGCTGTAATTGTGTAAATAGCCTATGTACCAGGCTGGAGGATTTAATAGGTCCAGCGCACTCAAGGTATTTTAAGGCATTAACAACATAACAAGAATCCGAAATTAAATTAAATGTAAATGGACAGGATTTAAACACCTCAACCATGATTGCTAGCTCTACTTGCTGAGGAGCTCCAGGAGAAAACTGATATTTAACAAGTTCCTGCATTGCCCCCATTTTTGCTCAATCTAAGTACTGCAGCTGCCAGTCTGGCATTGGTTAATGGACCTCCTAATTCTCTACATGCTGTCATCCAGACTTCTAATCCTCTATTTTTATATGGGGTGATAGCTGCTCTGCACTCCTGGGTACATTGTTCATACACTAGCTGCTTGACAAACGGCATAGCGGTGTCCGGGTCACCAAAGATCTTTCCTGCCGCTTCTACCATCCTAGCCACATAATCAGAAAAAGGCTCCATAGGTCCTTGAAGGATTTTAGTCAAATTATCAATTACCTCCCCTTTATTAGGTAAGGTCTTCCATGCTCTTGTGGCAATGTTATTAATCTGATCATACACTTGAGGAGGATATCCATTTTGCTGGTTGGCAAACCTGCCTTGTCCAAGCAACATATCTGTGTCCCAGACTGCTTGTGCCCCTCCAGCTGCTAGATTTATTGCAGCCTGAGCATTGGCCAATTCAATTAAGAGAGCTTTCCAATCTAGATACTGACCAGGGGACAAACATGCTCGTGCTAGGTTCATCCAATCAGCTGGAGTCATGACGTATCTATGTAGAACTTCCACTTGGGCCACCATAAAGGCAGCTGTAGTGCCATAAGTCTAGACAGATTCTGCCAATGTCTTGATGACCTTAAAATCCAAAGGCTCATGGAATCAATTGCATTGCAGATCCTGAAATACAGGAAATACTGAGGCCATCATCATTTCTGCCCTGACTTCTCTCCATACCTTAGGATTGAAAGAAATCCCTCCCTCTGCTCCTATAACCTCCGGATACGTGGGTGGAGCTGAAGGGGTTACAGTCCTGCGCATGCCTTTAGATGTCTTATTTTTCTCTTTGTTTCCCTTTTTCTTGGAGATTTTCATTCTTTTTAATGTTTTCCTAAGGGTTTCTCTATCTTCTTCATCCGTTTCTGTCTCTGTGTCTGGTGTCTCTGGGTCTGGCCCTGTCTCTGAGCTAGAGGAGACAGAAGAGTCTGATTCCTCCAATTCTGACAGGCTAGGATATAATCAACCCTTTGCTTTTCCTGGGCCCTTTTCTTCTTCCCTCTACCTGAATCTGTGTCAGATGCCACATCAGACTTTGCCTTTTCAGAGGCTGCTGTTTCTGAAGCTGCCCTATCTGAACGTTCCTCCTGTAATATCTCTAAGGCTGCTTGGCCATTTTCTACTGCTTCACTACACTTTCGATCCTCAAGGCAGCTTTTCACTAATTTCCAGATAGGCCTTACTCCAGCCTTAAGTGTTCCCGTTCTGTAGCAAACTCAAGGTCTCTACCTAGCTTTTCCCATGATGAAGTCGTAAGTTTCCCAGAGACTGCAAACCAAGGTGCAGTGGTATCACATTCCTCCAGGAACCTCCCTAAGGTACTTTTCTTAAGTTTTAGATTTTTTTGAACGAAGAAGCTCGTTCAAAGCCAGAAAAATTGGGTGAGAAGGAGAATTCCCCATGTCTATTCACTGAGGATTCTCAATACACTCCCTACAGCAATAAGTAAAAACGATGAACCAGAACACTGTATTCAAGAGTACCCAAGCTGCTAAGAGCAAGTAGTAATCCATCAACAGTATCCAGCAATTTTACTTTCAGTTCATCAGGCTATCAAACCGAATGTGCTCTACAGACTTGTAGCCCATCCACTGTAGTAGGCTTTACTTTCACTTTCGATTTGTCCGCTCTAGTCGCGGCTCTACTTCCCCTGCTCTCCCTTTGTTTACAGGCAAGAGCAAATAATCCGCTTTGGTTGCGGATCCCCAATCTTATCTTGAGGACTTACCGGTGCACCCCCTGACTGCTACAAGTTCTGTGCTCCAGGAAGAGGAGAGGAGAATCCCTGTATGAGCCACCACTTGTCCCGACCACCTCGACCAGCAAGGAAGACGCAACACCAGAGCTCTTCTTGCAAGCAGTTTACTCAGGACCTTGTTACAATAGTTTCTCTCCCCCGGCAAGCTCCTCCCAGTCATTAAGTAGCCCTGGGCAGCCAATCCTGGATCACCACGTGGGCACTGTCCATAGGTCCACTTATGCTCAAGCAGCTTACGATCATCGCATGATCCTGGCCTTAGCCAAATAAGGTGTTGTTTATCACTGAAAGCACTCGCTTTCGGAATCGCGGAAGGTGGAAGCCGGCGCCATCCTTTAGGTGTGGCTCCACGCAGCTCTCTACAGCAACCCAAAACTGAATCTACAGAACCCCCATAGAAGTCAAAAGCATAGCTGACTATTTGTAATCCCAACACTCCTACAGAGATGAGAGGCAGAAACAAAGAAAGCCCCCCAAATTCTATGAAGCAGTAAAACTACACATAGACACTAACTCAAACAAGGTGGAAGGCAAGAATCTACCTGCCAAGTTTACCTTTGACCACACATGTGTCATGGCACACACACATTTTGTACACATGAATGCACATAGCCACACACACAAAATGGCAACATAAAACACTCCATTTTAGAAAATCCTATTTCTATTAATAAGTTTATTTTTTAAAAGTATGGAGAAACATGAGCAAGTATGGTTGGACCCTTGTGCTCACTGCTGACTGTATATGATGACAGGCCTCCCACTCTTCACTCCTTATGAGAGGAAGATACACTCCCACACTTCACTATGTCACCTCAAAACTGTAAGTTGTCAGATTCAATAGAATGTCATTGGTGTTAACCTCATACCTGACTTTATGCAAAGCAAAAGAAGAGAAGTCTAGGAAATGGGTATATATACAATTTTCAAGCTGAACCCAGTTTTGACTGTTCAAACCCATGATAGACCTACAGAGAAGCAAAAAGGAGCAATGTTTGACTAGATGCCACTCAGATTCTGGGGCAGGCCTTAATGCCTTTATTACAATACCTTACTAGTATACTGATTGATAGCATGCCTCTGAACTAATAATGATCCTTGCAAAATTTTCATTGGAGTTTTCCGGAGTGATGGTGATTCTAACTTAACTTGTCTAGGAATGTCTTTATCAAAGAAAAATCCCCAAATCTCAGCAAACCAGAGATGCCCATCACCCATGAGCCTTCCTTCCTTTGAGAATGTATTTCCTTGGGTCTATTGATACTGGAATGGCTGTCCTCTGGTATTCAAGATTCAAAAGCTATCTCTGGTTTTTCCTGCTCAGCAACTGTGTAAGTCCCAATAACACCAACCCTCTATGAGTAATTTGCTTACCTATTTACCCTAAATTATTTGTGACAATGGAGGCATCCAAAAGGTGTTTCTAAAAACATTTTTTAATTCAAATATATTTAATTAGTTGCAGTGTGCTGTTAAAAGACAAGGGAGATTGTCACCATTATCATCCTTCCCTATGTCCTCTTTCTCTTACAGGTCACTGCTCACTGAAATGAGGCTTGGGGAGGTTAAAGAACAGTGTTAATGGGAGAAGTTTGGGGAAGTCTAAATCTTTACAGACAATGATCATGATGGCTGTACCTTCAGTTTCCAAAAAGCCAGCTTCTGAAGCATGTAGCAAGCAAACGTAAAAGAACAAATAGCAAGCAGGGCAGAGAACAGCCAGGTAGATTAAAAAAAATAACCAGGTGCTGTTGGCTATTTTATTACTCTTTACACTTTGAGGGTTCTACCAACCAACTCGCAAATAAATCGGCACAGAGCTTTATCTTTTCTTAAGAATGCCCGGTCTTAGTTTGGCTTGCTGCTATGTGTCTTTTCTTAACTTATCCCATGTACCTTTTCCTCTGGCCTTTTTTTCTTTTCTTTCTTCTGTATATCTTACTTTCACTCTTACTTCATGGCCAGCTATGTGGCTGGGTGCCTCTTCCTCTCATTCCTTGATCTTTTTCTCTTTTTTTCTCCTTCTATTTATTCTCTTTGCCTGGCACACCACCTACCCTTTCTCTTATCTTGCTAATGTTCATTCAGCTCTTTATTAGGCTAATCAGGTATCTTAAACAGGCAAAGTATCACAGCTTCACAGAGTTAAACAAATGAAACATAAAAGAATACAATACAACTTTGCATTATTAAAACAAATGTTCCACAGCATAAACAAATCTAACAAATCTTAAAATAATATTCCACAACAGAGAACCAAGTAGAAACTGACCAGGGAAGCCCTAGTCATTAGGCATTTAGTCATTTAGAGTTCCATATTGTGAGATCCAAGCAGAGTAGAACCATTTTTTCCATGAATACACTTTCAGTGCCTTTTTCCAACCACATGTATTTTTATACCAAGAGATGCTGTGGAATGCCCTTCTACATGTGTGTTGCTTTTATTAGTTGATGAATAAAGCTGTTTTGGCCAATGGTTTAGCAGAGTAAGGCCAGGTGTGAAATTGGATCAGAGCTATAGAGAGAGTAGACAGAGTTGAGGAGATGCTATGTAGGTATCAAGCAGAAACATACCAGAAAATTACGAGTAAACCATAGTCTCATGGTGATACGTAGCTTAATAGAAAAGTGTTAATTTAAGACATAAAAGCAAGCCATGAATATGCCTGAGTCATTGGCCAAACAGTGTTGTAATTAGTCGAGTTTCTGTGTGATTATTTGGATCTGTGTGGCCAGGAAATAAAAGTTCAGTCTTCCCCTGGTATAGATCTACATAAGACTGGTATAGGAGGGTCTTCTTTTTATGTATTGCTTTCATTGGTCAAACAAAGAAACTGCTTAGACCTTTTGATAGGGCAGAACATAAATAGGTGGGGAAGACAGGACTGAATGCTGGGAGAAAGAAGGCAGAGAAGAGAGCTGCCATGGAGCCAGCCACCAGATCAGACATGCTGAATCTTTCCCAGTAAGCCACAAGCTCATAGTGACATACAGATTATTAGAAATGGGTTGAATCAAGATGTGAGAGTTAGCCAATAAGAGGCTAGAACTAATAGGCCAGACAGTGTTTAAATGAATACAATTTGTGGTTGTTATTTCGGGGTATAAGCTAGCCAGGTGGCTGGGAGCTGGGCGGCAGGACCCGCAACTCCCTATACTTCAGAGTGGTGCTCCAGCGTGTTAGCGAACTCCTCATAAAACCTGAGAGGGCTTGAAAAGGAATTCTAGACACAAACACACATACACACTAAAACAGAGTTTAACGCAGCTTTTGCAATTTGCTAGGGTGTGCTGCAGAGATAATTCCTGACTCAGCAGCAGTACAAAAAAAAGCCACGCAGTTTTAAAATGCAGCTTCCTGGGCCCTGCCACTGGTGCAAACTCTGGGTATAGTGCATTTGTGGGCCTGGGTGTTTGTGTGTCCACTTGGGATCAGGAAAAGTAACTGAGCCAAGGACATGGCTGGACAGACAGTGGAATTAGGCTTGGGCAGGCGGGAAAGCATGGCAGATTTCTGTCGCCATACAGAGATGTTTCCAGGCTGCACAGTGCTCTGTGTGGAAGATTTGACTGTAACTCAGATAAAAAAGATCTATGTCTGACACACTCATTCTCAGCGTTGGACTGCTGAGTGCAGCTCCTGCCTGGTGGCCTCAGAACTAGCAGAAATGGTATGTTCACCATTTTGAAACTGGAGAGAGGTGTTGCCAACATCCAGAACAGCCCACTGCTCTGTGGCTCAGAGGCACAAATGACTCAGAGGTAAAAGTAGTTCTGCCATGCTGGACTGGGTGGGGAAAGCCCATAATACCTGTTTTTGACCTAGGAGTGTCACAGCTTAGATTCTTAAGCACTTAGCGATTTAAAAGAGCAAAGCAAAAATGTTCCTGGGCAGTAAAGAATTACAGACAATGCAATAGGACAGATTCAGACATAAATGACCTCTAAATGTGTCATAGTGTTAGACATACATAGGTTTGGGAGAGAGAAGAAAAAGAATACAGAGAATAAAGTTAATGCCTCAAAAAGGGGGGGGTAACGTCTTTAAAGAGACAGAGTACAGATAGTTATAAATTAAAAGAAATAAAGAAAAATAAGTCATGTAAAAATGGAAAATTCACAGAGAGCCTGGATTCTGTATATTGTATTTTCTTTCAATTTTTTGACTGTGAAGGAGCTAAATACAGAAAGACTTTTCATTGTGTGGTCTGCTAAGCTAATCCAACATTTGTAATTTCAAGCTATCTTGACTTCAGAATTTGGATCTAAGGATATGATGTTTGGAAAAGAGGTTCTTCTTTTGTTTTCACAGAGGATGAGACCCTGTGGATTGCTTCTATCCCAAAATGGTTTGATAGACCATGCCCTACTGAAAGGTTGCCATGAAGACCTTCAGAAAATTATTTCACTCAACTGCCAACTGAGATGAATCTAGCACACAGGTTATACCACGAAAGGCCTGAATAACAGTCCCTCCATACAGCAAGAAGCATTTTGGAGAGAAAAGAACTGTGACCATAATACCAAATATTGTTTATAAGTTGTTCTTTTACATTAGACGGGAGATATGATATAGAGATGAATAATTTACATTGGTATAAATTTTACTCGATTGATATAAATTTAAGGTCAATTTTTCTATATTTATATGTATTTCTGATCTTGATTAAGGTATTGTGATTTGTAGTTCATTTAAAAATGTAATGTATAATTAAGAAATATAGGTTAATGAATAATCATCGATAACAGCAAAGCTTGTAGTAATGTTTGTTAGATTTTCTAGATATATAAAGATATATTTCAGTTAGATAGGCATTCTTCATATCTTTCAAAGACTACAGAATATAGATTTTAAATGTTTTAATAACTTATAGCTTTTTATGACAATGAGACACGTCTGCTCCTGGGAGCACCAATCTACTTCAAGAAGAAGATGGGCATCGATGAGGCTCCTTATGGAATTGGTTAGCCATTTGGGCAAAAAACTGCTCTTGCCTGGACTGATGTATAAGTTAGACACAAAGAGCCCGCAGAGAGAGGACTGCTGAACTCTCCTAAAGGAGAGATGATCCTTTGGAATTCCTGTTTCATGAAAAATCTGCAAGACATTCTGCAGGAAACAAAAGAAAGTGACTGAAATGTCTTTGAATTTTCCTGCTTCATGGAAATGTCTGCTGGATACTATGGGCCTGAAGGCTGAAGATGGATGCCCCAATGGTACAGAGGAACTTTGGGCGACTGTCCAAGCAGCGAGATGTCTCTCTCATTTCTAGA